TTCCTTCGTCTTCTTCATCCATTATCTGCTCAATTACCTTGGATATAAAATCCGGGTCAACTTTCTCAGGAGTGGTCACTTTCAATATCTTGACCTTTACACCAGGAATCATATCTCGTAATATATTCTGAAAACCAGACAGTCCTGCAAGATCAGAGCCATCATCTATATCATCAGTATCTTCTGCAGTTTCAGTTCCCCCAACAAACAGATCTTTTGTTTCTTCAGTTGTCCCTGATGGATTCAAGTGGCTGGAAGCACCCAATTCATTGGAGAACACTGTTGAAGGATCTTGAAAAAGCCCCCTCCTTTTTAAATAGACAGCCTAACAACCACACATGGATCCCAAAAGCTTTTAATGTGCGGTTGCATAGAAAAGATTGTGTTTGCCAAAAATATGCTACAACTCTAAATCAGGATGGAGATTACAGCAGGGAGTTCATTAAAAATATACCTGCTGTTTGTATTCACCTTTCTTATCTATTACAAGGAATATCTCGAAAAGTGGAGCACCTACTGTAGCTGTAGCAAGCTGCCTGAAAGAGAAAATAGTGAAAGAAGAATAAAAAATCATGAATAATAAACCTTTCCAGGTAGCAAAGTAGAAACAGGAGCACTAACAAAAATAACATTGAAGAAAAATTTTGAGTTTTTTCCCTTTTTTTTTTCAAAATGATTCTAATAGTTTGAATTAGAAACAGAAGTTGGAGGGCACTGTAATTTATTGACAACAAATATTAGCCACAATAATTAAATTGTCAAATGCAGTAAACTGTGAGAAAATTCACAATCCAAACACATATAAAATGGCTACTGACATTCAATATAAAAAGCAGAAGCATACATCATCCAATTTGTTTTTTGAAAAAAAGCATAGTTTGCTTCAAATTTAGAAACCCATTGTTTCACAAAAATTATTCGGCTTCCTAAACTGAGATGTTAATAGTGAAAAAGGCAGTTGACCAGAAAACCAGACAATCCACTGTCAAATCATTCTACAACCTGCTGGCTGGGAAGTCTAGCAACAGTGGACATTTGTTTCTTCATAATATTATCTGGAAAGCAGGGGCCACTCCCAGAATTTCCTTTTTTTGCTTGGGAGGTTGCAAAAGGTCACATTCTCACATTGGACAATCTCATGAAGAGAGGGAATCCTATGGTCAATTGATGTTTTCTCTGCAAGAACAATTTAGAATCCTGCAATCATCTTCTGCTCGAATGTAGTATGGTTCACAAGCTGTGGTCAGTGGCTCCTCGTCTCCTGGGTCTGTCTTGGACTATAAATGAGTCTATTTCATCCGAACTCCTTGCTTTGAAAGGCTTCTCCAGCAAAAAAAAAACCTTCAAACTCATTCCTCTCACCATTTTTTGGGTCATATGCAAGAAATTTTTGAAAGAAAAGAAGTAGAATTTAGCATAATCATTGACAATTGGCTCTATTATTTTGGTTCTACTTTATTGGGGCACAACATTGATTGTTTTGAAGATCTTGGTTTCATTGTTGATATGCTAACCAACTTGGAAACTTTTGTACATGGGGGGTGCCCCCTTGGCACCATTACTTCAATACAATATTTACACTTTTATTTCAAAAAAAAGAGGCTAAGGACAAGAATGGAAATATAGTGAATCAATAAGATTATCAACACCAACCAAGCAAAATTTCGAGTTCTTATCTGGCAAACACATAATAGGACTGTCAATTTCAATAAATATATCCATTCCATTGATCTCTTTCAAAGTTGAAATTTCTCAAGCCTACAATTTTCGTATGCCGTTACTTTAACTTCTACTACATGATTACTTTTTATTGATCAGGTCTAACTTATCTGTTATATATCAATGTTTTACCTTCTATTTCATTTTCATTTTTTATCCAATAATGAAACCTTGGCTAGCGGAACTATACAGCCAAGATCCCACTTTATTTCCAATTATATGGAGAAAAAAGAAACAAACTCTTTCTGTAAACCACTTCAGTTCGTAAAATGTTAAAAACATGATTGCACAGTTGTTATTCAAGTCCATCCCAAATTTCATGCGCCAACCCATATACATAAAATACATCTAAATGAGAAAC